CAATCGACTACAAACATTGCAAACTCACAAAAGTGCTGTAGATCTTCCAAACTCGTCAAAGTTTTTACAGGGAATGATAAAATTTTATTAATAGTTCTTTTAATATCGTTGTTCATTTAACGTCTATGGATGTTATTTTTCCATTATGTATTTGGTGATAAAACCGATTCCATAATAGCTATTGTCTGTTTTCAAAGTAATTAACTTGTTCTGTGTAATTGATATCAAAGTTCGTTTATTTTCCGTTCTTGCTATAACTATCAATGTCGAGAGAAAAAAAAATCCTACTTTTTCTTTTTTACAAGTCTTGTAAATGTCTTAATTGTAATATACATTGTACATATTGTTTGTTTTTATTTTTTTTATTGGTTCATTTTTTACGGCCTGTCAACCCTTTGCAGGTTATTTAAAGCCAAAAAATATTTTTAGATTGTAAGAATTTTTTTAGATAATAATTGTTTAGTGATACAACTCTTATTAGTTAACCTACAGTTGGGGGGGAGTAGAAGTGGGGGAGTAGAAGTGGATTAATACCTAATTAGAATTTGACATACAAACGAGAAATTATAATGTGGATATAAAGTGAGTGATCAATTCTATATTACAGTCAATATATAAACTGAGCCCTCAATTTGTGTCTACAGTAGTTTCTATAAATTCATATTCCAGAGGATGTAAAATCAAAAAGACATGCCTGTGTAGCTAATCAGTATTTGATTGATTGGTTAATTCGTGTTTTTACGGCTTATCAACCTTTTTCAGGTTATTTAAAACCATAAAATATTTTTTAAATTGTAAGAATTTTTTTGAGATAATAATGATTTAGTGATATGTCTTACTAATTAACTCATAGCTCGGCTTTAAGGAAAGGTAAACTATGGAAGACACTAAGTGAGATATTTTTTTGGCATATTAAATGAAAGTGAATGAATATTGTTACTATTTTTATTGCTTTTGTGGAATTATGAATTATTTATTCTTATATTTATTTCTTATTTTTTTATCTAAATTATTTTTTAAAGATCAAGAGTTAACCGTTTTATTTTAATTAAAAAAAAATTTTGACGGTCATGCCTAAATATGTCAGCTTGAGAAGGAAGCATTTCTTTTAAGAAAGGAGATATTTGTAATCATTATTTATTAACATATGCGTACCCCTCCGTAGAGCTACTTTTGTCAATTTACTCTTCATTCTAAATTGACACTAATGCTAATCGTTATTTTGTTTGTTTGTGGTATCTATCGGTCTCGAGAGACCCAGTGGATCTGTGCCCAAAGAGATGTGCCTCAGCTATTGATGGCAATACAGCATCTGTTGTGGCTGTACAGTCCCACATAGGGTTGATAGTATCGGTTGCAACAAATACATGTGAAGACGCCCCCCCACCCCGATGTCGCCTTGTATCTTTTTTTCTTTGGCGACAATCCTCATGTCCCATTTGCAGACGTTCCTGAAGCGAAGAAGAGGTCGACCTCGTGCCCTCTTGTCAGTGGCCAGTTCCCCGTACAGAAGGACCTTTTCAGTCCTCCCATCCGGCATACGGTGTACATGTCGAAGCCAATGGATAAGGGCGCATAGGCTAGGTCACCGGACACAAGTGAGAACTACGATATCAGTGACCCGGTCGGACCAACTGATGCCCAGAATGCGTCTCAGACAGCGAACATGAAAGGCACTGTGGCGTCTCTCCTGTCTGGAATAGAGCATCTAAGTCTCGTTGCCGTAGAGCAGTACGCTGACAACGCATGCCCTATAGACTGTAATTTTGGTGATCGTAATAACCTTTCTGTTCTCCCAGACTCTCGAGGTCAGCCTGGCAAACGTGGTGACGGCTCGTCCGAGCAGTTGAACACGATGCCTAGAGAGTGGGTGTCTGAAACGGCGGAGCCGAGGTATGTGAATTCAGGAACCACCTCCAAGTCGTACACCCTTGTGTAAATTAATTGAAACAACCGCTTTAGTTTCCTTTCGTTTACCATACGGCCAGTTTTAGTATCACTGGAGTGACAGGGTGTAATCAATTTCTATTTTTTCCTCGGTTTAGATCTTTGCAGCGCTGTGCAGTAATATGAATATATTTTCTGAGTGTATGATGAAATTTGTTTGGCCTTGAAAAGTATTGCGTCATCCGTGATTGCGTTAGATTTTTATCATCCCCAGACACTACTGTCTTGACTGTCGATTAGTTGTCCTACAGCCATTGTCTGCGATGGACGTTACTCCAAGGAAGCGTTCGAAAACTGTAACGCTGCACGACATACTGGCAAGCTTTACTAGTGAGCAAATCAAAATACTATAGACTGGCCCGGAAACTCTTAATTTAAATCCAGTCGAGAATCTGTGGTCAATCAGCAAAGAACGATTTTGTGGAATGGACATACGAAGTACTAACATGTGCACTGGGACATGTTTCATTGGAAAAATATGGAAAAAAAAGTAAATAATAACGGAGTTATTTGTTTTGTCTCAATTAATTTGCACAAGGCTGTAATTGTTGATTTTGATGGCGGGAGGTTGTTCAACAACGCCTTGGCACATCAAATTAGTTTTATTTAGACTGATGATCAGACTAAACTCATGAAAGGCTTTTGAAAAATTGTCCGTGTGTGGCACTGCAGTTGTTCTTCAGAGTATACTGAAATCAAACAATATGTTCGGATAGTGAAGAAAGTGGAATGAGTGTGCTGGGTTCAATTTCTAACCACGTCTGTTAAGTTCACTTAGCATTATTGCCCTTGGGAAGGGTATGATTTTTTTTTTTCCAATTCAGTTAAATAATCGGGCAGATTGGGATTTCTTGTTTTAGATGGCAACCAATCTAGAAGAAGGAAAGCTATTAATTCAGATCGGCGCCGTGAAGTGTGCGAATAACATTCCTTGAATCTTGGTCTGGTCATTCGCTGTTTAGGACATAGCCTAGGAGTCCGAAGAAGATATCAAGAGGGTACCTGATTGACTTGTGTCACTATTTACTCCCCCTAAAACCCACTCATTCACAATCTGTTACTTCTTCAAAGGATACATCCTCATGCATATCGTTTTCAATTATTATTAAATATGATTTTTAATTATTTTTTATTAACTATAAGTTGAACCTTCGCCAAATTTTCCTTCTCCCCCTGAATGACATCAGTCTACACCACAACTTCACCAAAAACGGTGTTTCAACTCTGTTTTGTTTTTTGTTCTTAGCGACTGTTTTTGAATTCAAAATTGTCCTTTTCCTGGACCTGTTGCTAGCCAAAGCTAGAGAATCCAATACGCTCTATTATTTAACCCATAGAAGGGAGAAGTTATAGATTATTGCCTTTCTCGTGGTTATTTTTTGTGCAAGCAATGTAAACCCGACACGCCAACTCCATTTACGGCGGCGATAACGCAGAACAAATTCCAGAATGACAAATGATTTTCGTAAAAGAGTAAGTATTAGAGCAACATAAGACAACAAAGGACAGCAATCCTCCAATTTCCTTTTCTTTCTTATTTCTCCATCTATCTCCCTCTTGATATATATATATATATATATATATATATATATATATATATATATATATATATATATATATATATGCTTGTATCCGATTTTTCATGGATTTGATCAAGTTATCAACAATCGTCTGATCCATATTTTGCCACTCCTTTAGCAATGTTTCTTTAAGGGTTGCCACTGACGTGATTTTGGTTGCACACTCTCGAAGTTTTCGGTCAAGGTGCTCCCAAACGTTCTCTATTGGATTCATGTCAGGACTTGGGGTTACCCATGGCAGTGACTTGATTCCTTGCGATTCCTTCCAGGCCTTTGCTACTTTTCTCGTATGACATGGCGCACCATCTTCTTGAAAATGGTAGACATTCTTGTCAATCTGATTAGTTTCAAATAGTGGGAGTAATCCTTTCTCTAAAATTTGACAGTATTTTGGACCATTCAACCGCTCGTCAAAAAAGAATCAGCTCAGATTTCCCTGTAAACCAGACAGCGCCTCACACCATTACTCCAATCCCTCCATGTTTCACGGTCGCCTGTAGATATTTAGTGTTCCAAGTTTCATTCTGATTTCTCCAAATATAAACCTGTCTCGAATTCAAATATTGGCAGTATTTACTTACTTCTGATCAAATTACGGACTGCCAAAATTCGTAATCTTTGCTTTCGAATTCTCTCGCCCAGTCCATACGAAGGTTCCTGTTAACCTCTGAAATCAAGGGTAACTTGCAACTCTTCTTTGATAGCCTAACTCTTTCAGAATCTTTCTCACCGCATATGGTGACATTCCTATGCCGTTGGCGACATCTTTGACGCTCTGACGACGGTTTCTGATGACTTCCTTATTCAGTGCCCTTTTCGTTCACTCAGACACGATGCTTGGTCTTCCTGAACGTTGTTCCACACAACAATGGCCTTCTTCATTAAATTTCTGGACAATATTGTTAACTGTTTGATGATTAACCTGAAAAAAAAACCTAGCAATTTCTCTATTTGACTTGCCACAATGATGCCATCCTATTATTTATCCTTGCTGAAATTCACCAATTTCTTTACTTCTGCGAATTTTCATTGCTTAATATAAGTCAACTATCGTTCATAGATTCGAGTAGCTTGATACTAATACATTATTATCTGAAAAAAAGAAGAGATGTTATTACACAAGCCAAAATTGCTGTAATCAAGGGTGACTAAAAACTTATCATAGCCCTCTGTACGCCCACACCCCGTTGTCTCATCAACATTTTGAATTTCAGAGAATCGTATTGTCCTGTTGGAAATAAAATTTTAAAAACGGAAAGAGAAACAATAGCAAAAGTGAAAGAAATGTCATTTTGAAAATAAAAGATATATTAGAATAAATGTAAGGAGAGAAGATAAAAAAAGAAGATATATAAATGAGAGAGGAGGAAAAAGAGAAAACAGTGGGATTGATTGATTTTTTACGGTATATCAACCCTTTTTACGGCTTATCAACCCTTTCTGGATTAACATATTTCGGATCGTAGGAAGTTGCTTACAGCACCAGGTGTTCACAATCGGTCCCCCATCTAAGTATTCACCGGGCTCGACGCTGCTTAACTCCACTGATTAAGCGAGAACCGGTGTTTTCGGTATGTTTTTACCGTAGGCAGGAAAAAACGAGAGAGAGGAGGTAGGTAAGAACGGAGAGAGGGGGAAGGGAGATAAAAGAGAGAAGGAAGGGAGAAATAGAGGAGATGGAGAAAGGGGAGGAAAAGGAGGGAGAAAGGAGAGATAAAAGGTAAGAGGTGGGGAAGGACGAAGAGACGGGAGGGACAGGCACATCGGCCCGGGGGGAGGGGGAAGATTGAGAAAATAATTAACAAAGAAATCAAGATATAAAAGGCGAATTGTGAAAAGCGTTTTTGATTTTGTTTGGACATCAGCTGTTTGTACCGATTGACCCTCACCCCCGACCCCTACCAAAGCGCAGGTGACAACCATAGGTGTGTCTCAGGTGTTTGCACATATCCACCTGCTTCGGAATGATAGCAAAGTCTTCCATCTAATTATCCAATGTGCATTTAGTTTGTCTTTATAAACGACACATTTGTTTGTTTGTGTGTAGGGAGTGTGTGTGTGTGTGTGTGTGTGGGGGGGGGGGTCAGAAAACTTCAATTCGATAAAGCATTCTTTTTATTTCTGCTCTTTTCCTTTCATCTTTCCGTCTCATTTTTCTTTTTTTTTTTCTTTATTTGCTTTCGTTAGCTTTCTTTTTCTCTTTCTTTTTCCATTTGTCTTTTCCTTTTTCTTCTCCCTTTTCCCTCTCATTTTCGCTTTTCTTTTCCTCTTTCCTTTTTCCTCTTTCCTTTTCGTTTCCTCTGTCCGTTTCTTTTTCTCTTTCATTTTCTTTTCCTCTTTCTTTTTCTTTTTCCTTTTCCCTTTCTTTTCCCTTTCATTTTTCCTTTTTTTCTCTTTCCATTTCCTTTTCTTTCTTCTTTCTTTTTCCTATTACTTTTTATCGGTCCTTTTCTTTTTTCTCTTTCCATTTCCCTTTCTATTTTTACCTTTTCTTTTCTTTTTCTTTTTCTCTTTCCTTATCTTTTCCGTTTTCTTTTTCTCTATTCTTTAACTTTTCCCTTTCTCTTTCTTTTTGTCTTTCCTTTTCTCTTTCACTTCCCTTTTCTCTTTCTTTTTTTCTCTTTCCCTTTGTTTTTCTCTTGCCTTTTCTTTTCTCTTTCCCATCTTTTTTCCCTTGACTTTTCTTTTTTCTTTTCTTTTACTCTTTTCTTTTCCTTGTTTTTCTCTTTCCTTTTTACTTTGTTTTTTACTTGCATTTTCTCTTTCTTTTTCTTTTCCCCTTTCCTTTTCCTTTGCCCTTTTCCTTTTCCCTTTCTCTGTCGGTTTCCTTTTTTCTTTTCTTTTTCTCTTTCCTTTTCCCTTTATTTTCCTCTTTTGTTTTCTTTTCGTCTTTTCTTTCTCTCTTTCCTTTTCTTTCCCTCTTTTCTTTTTTCTTTTCTCTTTCCTTTTCTTTTCCTCTTTACTTGTCTATTTCTCTTTCTCTTTCTATTTCCCTTTCTCTTTCCTTTTCTTTTCATAGTTTTCCTTTTCTTCATTCTTACACCTTTTTAGATGCCGATACCTGTAAAGGCAACGACAAAAACTGCAAGGAACTGGTATGAAGATCACCCAGGACTCCGTTACAGGGACAGCACCTGCAACAATTTTATGGTACTTTACACAGACAGATCAATAACAGCTAATTGTCCAGACATCGTGATCTAAGACGACAAAAACAGAATGTGTTTTCTTAATGACATGGCAGTCACTGCAAATTGTAATGGATCTTGGAAAATCTTCAAAAACTATCAAAATGCAAGGATCTTGAAGTGGAATTCTCAAAAATGTCGTACATGATGACAACAATAATTCCAGTGACAGTTGGAGCCCTCAGATTGATTGGAAAAGGTTCCGATAGACACACTGAAGGAATTCCGGGTAGCCCAGGTCTTAAAGACAAAATTGTACACACAAATACAGCTTGCATATTACAAAGAGCTTTATCTATGTAAAATATGTGTGGTCTCAAAAATGAACAGTGGAAAATGTCATGAAGCCATTTCTGAACTAAGGTTTATTGTTGGGATCCGGAAGAAAACCCAAGGAAATTATTATTATAATAATAATAATAATAATAATAATAATAATAATAATGACAACAACAATAACAACAACAACAACAATAATAATAATAATAATAATAATAATAATAATAATAATAATAATAATAATAGCCCAACTTTCAAAAGCTAAGGCAATTAAGATTTGATCTTAGCAATCTACCTGAAACGGGAGTTAAAAGTGAAAAAAAAAGAAAAGATTTTCTATTTTTGTATTTGCTTTATTGTATTTTTAAGTTAATTTGTTTCTTTATTTTCTTACCGTTTCCTTCTTCATTGCTCGCCTTTCCTTCTTTCTTTTCTTTTTTCTTTCATTGTGTCTCTTTTCTTTTCTCTCCTATTTTTCTGTACGAATATTATTCGACTTCCTACCTTTGTCATCCTCGTCAATTCATCACCGCGAATCATCGATTCCGCTGCCCCCTCCTCTTCACCCTCCTCTTCCCCCCTCCCCAACAAATCGTTTGCCCCTCCCGAAACCCTTTACCATCCGAATCCCTTTACCCCGAACTCGACATTTCTCCACTTCCACCCCATTTCTTGTTACAGTAACCAGCGTCAGATGGCGGAAACAAAAATGAGACGAATTGAAGTGGGATCCATCTCTTTGATATTGACTTCCATCTCACCCTCAGCTTGATGGTAGCAACATCGGTGAAGACAAACTCTTTTGTCTTTAACCGGCTAAGAGGTAACGGGTACATATGAACAGAAACAGTATCAACAACATTTGTAAGAGATGACTGCACAGGAGTTACGCTTAGAGCAGTATTAGTAGTAGTAGTAGTTTTATAGTTACAATGACCGTCGTTTGATAAAGTACGATGTTTATATATATATATATATATATATATATATATATATATATATATATATATATATATATATATATATATATATATATATATATATATATATATAGCCTTTCTTTTTTTTTCTTATTGTCCTTTTACAGATACACTCTATGTGAAATGTTTGCACACACACACACACATATGTATATTATATATATTAAGATTACGACTTTTTGACATTTTGTAAAATAATTGATTTCCTCTATCATAATTCGATGAGATTTTGTTAAAAAAATAATGAAGATGGGTTTAATATCATCCCAAGAACGAATTTTTAAAAACATTACGTCTGGTTTACATCACCACTTCTGGAATCAATGAATGATGTAAAGCTGTGGATTTATATATATATATATATATATATATATATATATATATATATATATATATATATATATATATATATATATACATTTATCTATTTGGCAGCAAACCCTTTTTAATACATGTTTCTTTGAAATCCTTCCTAGATTTAATGACTGTAAAAATATTCAAATGTTTGTTGGTTTCGAGTGTTATTGGCTTCACGGTTAAAGATACGCCTTGTCCAAAAAATACTCTTTGGAAATCGCTAACAGAATGGTTGATTGGCCAGGAAAGTGATTCGTTGATGTTATCGGCCTGGAGATATGATCTAAGCGTGTGGCAACATTGAGAATTGCCTGAAACACCATACCACCGAAGGTCCAAGGTGTTTGCTAGCACGAAATCACAAGTCATCGTGACCGAGTGATTGAGTGTACTGGTCTTTTTCAGATTATTGATCCTGCCAGATTATGTGCTCTCTCTTCCAGAAACCGTAATCAAGGTGCGTTTTGTGGGTGCCGAGCAAGTACAAGTGTGTTTGCAACAAGGATTGGCAAAAAGGTGTGCCCGGAAATGAGTAGCCGGCTGTTACATATGGCTTAATGGAAGACGATCAAACAAAGCTATCAATCAACCTTCAATATTTTCGTTGATGTCGCTTATGTGGTAAATTGTTCTTTATTCTGTAACAATTCATACAATACAGGTTAGGGCGCTTCGATGTGGTATAATGGTTAGCAATAATGTCTTGCTAAATCAATTACAACTGAATAGTTAGTTCGATCCTCATTGGGTGCTCCATGCTTTTGACCTTGTGCCATATCTAAGCTACGCTTAGAAAATCGGCATACAAATCAGGTCAAGCTGAATGATAGATATATAAATCAACCAGCAGTGCCGTACGCGATACACGCCTGAGATGTCATTTCTCCTTCGACTCATGACTGACTAGACAGAAGATTTTCCCGCAGTAGGCTGCCGTTTCTTTCAGAGATAGATTGGTTGCCAACCAAGGCTATAGGACGCAGTCTGTCCTTCCATTTAACCCATAGTTGGGACAAGAGGAGAAAAGATAGATTCGTACCTTACCTAAGGTTATTTGCATGTAAGTGAATGTAATGAACTCGACTGAAATTCGAACTCTCTCTTTCTGTTTCTCTCTCTCTCTGCCTATCTATCTATCTATCTATCTATATATATATATATATATATATATATATATATATATATATATCATAAGTTGTATGGATATGAGTTTAGACCCTGGGTTTCATGCTTTTGCGATCATCAGAGTTTGTTTGATGATCGCAAAAGCGTGAAACCCAGGGTCACAAATTGATATCCATACAACTTATCTAGTTCTATCACTGATATTGAGCGCTTTCCACTAAGTACCGCGCATACCATACATATATATATATATATATATATATATATATATATATATATATATATATATTTGGTTGGATAGATGTGAGTTTGCGACCTGGGTTTCACGCTTTAGCGTTGTCGACGATCGCTAAAGCGTGAAACCCAGGGTCACAAACTCACATCTATCCAACCAAATATGTTAGCTCTATCTCTGATATTGAGCGCTTTCTAATAAGTACCGCGTATATAATATATAAATAATTATACATATATATATTTTATTTATATTTATATTCACTTTTCATATATATATATATATATATATATATATATATATATATATATATATATATATATATATATATATGGGAGAGTAGTAATAGTAGGAGAGTGTCGAAAGTCAAAATGTCGAATGGACAAAATGCCAGACGGAAAAAAAAAGAGTCGAATTGACTAA